ATTGGTTCAAAGATATCAGCCTGAAATTTTGCCAAGTGACTTCAAAAAAATCTACTACGAAATTTCGAAAATTCGAAGATAAGAATTCGAAGCTTGCAAATGGCTTATCTTGAAAAAATCGTCAAAAATTCTGCGCATACCCCCTATTCATTTTTTCGTCGCAAATTAATTTTTCTCTCAATTTTATGAATATATTAGTGAAAGATTCGGTCAAAATAGTTTATAGCTATAATTACTTATTTTACGATCGTCCTCTTACGAAAATTCGAGAAAAATGTTAGAATAACAAATTTTTTAAAGTTACGCCTAATCCCCTATTTTGGTCATAGTAAAAGATTGAAAAATTTATTTAACAAATAAATTGAATTCGAATATGAGAATATAAACCTCACAAACCGCCCTTCTATTTCATGGCTCATTATTATACAATACAACCTAATACATATTTTACCCTCATCAAACAATTTAGTACATCGTCTTTAACCTCACTCTTTCACATGTTTCGAACTCGTTCTCTATTCCCTCAGGCTGTGCTGCTAGAGAAGCTAAAGTATGCTATACATTTTTGCAAGAGTATCGATACGGATGAGTATGCGCGCGTTGCCATGGGTGATCCCACCGAAGCGACGGGCAGTGAGGACGACAGCGATCTGGAATCGGCTGCGAGTAATGAGGCCTAAATCAAAATTAACTATTAGTGGAACGTGAACGTGATTTTCACAATAAAACAAAAATATTTAAATATACATATATATTGGATAAATATTCATGCATACATATATAAATTTTGTGAATGGAATTGTAGTTTGTAGTAGCAGCGAACGTAGTTTGGTAAGTAATAAGTTTAGTTAATTCAATTCGAAATGAAATTGTTTCAAGAAATATTAATTTAAAAAAAAAAATCCAAAATAAACTTTTCTTTTACTTTCCAGCACCATACAAAATCACTCAACCCCACAGAAGCAAAGCAAAAAACAGATGACCCCCCCAAGTGAAATATAAAGGCCTCAAAGGCCTAAAAGCGAGTGAAATTTCCAAAATCAATTGAATTATAAAAAAAAAAACTTTTGCTCATTATTTAACAACTGTTGTTGTTGCGTGGCGAGCAAATTCATTTGAGAAGTTCAAAATTCTAAAAAAAAACAGACAAAATAGTATTACAAATTTTAATTGTGATGAGAAAAGAAATGGCGTAAAATCATTTGGTCAGTGCTGACCGCAAGCAGTAGCGACGTCATGCAGCAATAACAACAAAGATCAGCGTCATAATTGTAGCTTAAAAATTATTAAATACGCATTAACACACATACATACACGATTTTGCCACATTCATACATTTATTTACCGTTTAATGAGATTCCATAAAATTTTTTGCACTTTCAATGAATTTATTATTATGTATTATTTTTCGTGAACTTTCATAACAACAAAAAAACAATAATAATAACCAGTTTAACATTAACTTATAAGCTGGTGACGCTTCATTCTAATCTTTGCAATTGAATTTTTAACCAAGAAATAGAATAAAAAAAATTTTATAAATTTATATTTACTTAAAAATGTATGTGTTAATTTTAATTGAAAAGGAAGAAAAAGAATGTAACAAAAATTTACTAATGCTAGTTTTCGCTTTATGAGCGCAAAACATGCTTATTTTGTAAATTTTACCGTTTTAGTTTTAGCTTAATTAGCTCCTAGTTTAATGAAAATATTTTCTTTCAAGTACACAAAAAATGTTTAAGTATAATTTATGGAAGAGTACTAAAACAAAAAACGACAGGGGTATTCGCAGCTCAGTAGCACGTTTCTGTAACTCTTCTCTACCGATTATTTCTCTACTGGTAGAGAATATACGTCCGTCATTAGCAGTAGAGAACAAGGCGGCGAATTTACATATGAATTCGCCTTGGTAGAGCTACAGAAACGAGGTACATATAAAATAAGGATCAAGAAATGGAAAAGAAATTTTTTGCTATCAAAATTTCTTAAATACTATGCAACTCTCAAGTATAAAGTACTTTCTCAAGCAACAGAAATAATGAAAGTATTTCTTCTGTTTTTTCTTGAGAACTGCAGACGGCCCTTTAGGATGGAAAATTCTTCGAAAACTTTGAAACTTTCGAAACTTTGATCAGGTTGTAAAAATTTCTATGAGAAATGCTTTTAGGTTTTGCAGTTTTCCGAACTGAAGACAATTTCTTGAGATAAATTTCATTTTCAAAATATTTGAAATGTCAAAAGTTTTCGTAAGATTAATTTTCTAGTTATTTTTCATGTTTAACCATTTTCTTTTAGTAAATTTTTTTCTCTTATTTTAGCTCATTTTTAATTCAATTATTTTTTAAACTTTTTTGTTCTTAAATAAATTAAACTATTTTAAAATTTTAATTGAAATTATTTTTATATAAAAATTACATATTTTTAGTGTACCTACAGTAGTTTTTTTTTTAATATTTTTAATGCAATTTTGTAGAAACAACCACATTTTTACAAGAATTACAATGTAAAATTTGAAATCGCCTTGGAAAAAATATTTATTATAACCAGAAGCAATTAGCGCCTATTATAAATAATTATTAAAATTAATTGTAATCGAAGTAAAAATAAGTATGCTTCATCGTGTTTGAAACTGCCATTAAAAAGGAAAATTTTCATTGGAGGAAAGATTCGGTAGCATTAAGTTTTGCTTAAAATATTTTTAATGGCAGTTCACCTAGTAGAGAGCACAAAAACAACACATGTTTATACGCGTGTGCGCGTGTGTCGTTTGTTCTTTTGCTAAGCCGCTGAATTTCGATTTTGGCAATTTTTTTTCAAAGATGGATTCAAACCTAAAATCTTTAGTAAACTTAGTAGTAGAAATAATCTAGTTTATAAAATTAGTTTTAGTTTTTCGTGGCAAATTGCACTCTAACTAGATGCGCACACATTAACACACACACACACACACACATACACAACCTAAAATATTTATGTACATTTTACAGCTAAAAATACCCTTTTTCACATTCTACACGCAAAATTAGCAAACAATTTATTTCTAACGTATTTTAGCTTACAATGTACATACATATGTAGCTGTGCATTGGCAAGAAAATCTTAACTTATTTGCCAAAAATTAAGAATTTATGTAGCAATTGCAAAGTAGAGTTTAAAAAAATTGTAAGAGAACTATAAATCTGAAATGTATTTGAATTTGGCAGTTGTTGTGTAGCGATTCGATGGAAATTTTATGAAATATTAAGCTGGAAATGAATAATAAAAAACAATTCAAATTAAAACATTTGTTAATATTTTATTCGTAGTTTGATACTAATTTAGAAAACACTTTTTGTAGTCCAGAAAAATAATTTCAATATTTTTATTTTATTTAATATGTAATAACAGGTTAATGTTTTTTAAAGTAGTCCGATATTGATGCATTTCGTACATTGAAGAATTTTTCATAATTTTGTACAAACTTGGAACTGTTTTTTTGGTCATGTCTTAGTACAAAAATTTAATTTTTTTGTTGTAGAAGTTGAACTTGTCCCGGTTTGTTGAGTCATCTGTTACATTTTTAATCCCAGTTAAAAAAAAAAAATGTCTTATCTAGATCTAGGGCATTTGGACGGGAGTCGGGTAAAATACCATGAGCTGGAACCAATGCCCCATCCGAACCCGAAATAAGAGCCTAAAGATTTTTCTAGAATAGCATTATGCATAAAAACTTGCCTTTTACGTATTTATATATCATCATGTGAAAAACAATAGCACACGACATTTTAACAAATGTTGGCTAATTTTGTATTGTTTGTATGTTTTTTTTTTTTTTTTTGTAAAAATGCAGTACATTACCTAACAAAAACCTTATAAGTCCCAATTTCAAACTTTGTAGAATAATTTACAACAACAACAATCAGTTTACTAAGAATTTTGAGAAAAAACCTGAGTATGCAGTTTTACAGCCCATTAAATTCTAGTTTAAGAAAGTACAAGTTTCAAGTTTCTAATAAGAATTCGCGTAATTTTTAATAATTTTTTTTTTGTGAGGGTTTACGCATTTTCTTCTTATAAAGTGTGTTCGACAATTTTTTTGTATGGATGAAAATAATAACACCATCCGCAAAAAAAAAATATCAAAAATCAACGCGAATTCTTAGCCACTTGGAACTTGCACTTTCTTAAGCTAGGATTTAATGGGCTATAAACTGCATACATATATTTTCCAAAAATTCCTAATAAAAAGTTTTTTGTTGTAAAATTGTTTATTTATTCATTCATTTACGCCAATCGGCTGTACACTGCATCGTTATTAACTAGTATAATTACCTACTTATAAGGGAAAGGTAAACATTTAATTAAAATGCCTTAGATTTGAACAAAAGACTAATAATTGATTGATTTTTTTTTTATTTCTTTTTAAATTTTTCCACAAAGTTTGAAATTTGGACTTACATATGCATATGGTTTTTGTTAGGTAATGAGCTGTATTTTTATTAAAAATAATAAACATTAAACAAACGTAAGAAAAGTAGCAAAAACTGCCCAAAATATCGCGTCCCTATTATCTTTCACAAGACATATCGTATCTTCTTTGCAAGAAGCATGAATGTGCAAATTTATCAGCCTCGAGTTATTAGGCTAACTTGATTAACCTTTAGATGTTCTATGTTATACCAAAACCCAGAGTACCATGCGTCCACGGAAACCACGTTTTTTTTTCAAATTTCAATTATGTACATAAAGTGTCGTCAAAAAACTTTCCAAACTTGATTTCCCAAAATTTTCATTTTTAGACATTCATGCTGCTATCATAAGGGCGACGATATGTACGCATGTTGTCCACAAGAGAACTGACAGAGGCTAAAAAACTAATATTTCTTTTGAAACTAAATTTATTTTAACTATGTGTATACTGCATATCAAAAATCAGGCAGATTCTGTAATTCACTTCCGATTGAATTTCAACTCCAGTCGAAATTCACTCGGAAGTGAATTGCGGAACCTGCCTGAATAATATGCCTTGCTTCCAATAAATAATTGTAAGGCGAATTCATATGCATATGAAAATATTTTACAATATTTTTTCAAAATTTCAATTTTGTGGGAAAACGATATCAAAGTTTGAACAATTCATACATTCGGTATACCAAAAGACATAGAAAGGCACACATCTTCGCCATTTTTGGGAACTTTAGTCAAAACACGAAAATTTTGAATTATATACCTATATTATTAAACATGCGATATACGTACAACTTATATGTACGAATTCTCCTTGAATTGTGCATTCAAAATTTCTAAAAATATATTTAACCAAAGCGGCCTTTAGATGTCGCAACCCCAGACTGCATCCACCACGGAGGGTTCGTGCTCACGTGAATTCACTTTGACATTTTGATTGTGCGTGCCATCTGCTCTTCCTTCAACACCCTCTCCACCGCCAATTCCATCACTTCTAGTTGCCGATACTTACAGCGCTTATAGCGCTTTCATTTGTATCGCCATCATCTCCAGGTGGCGCCGGAGATTTCTCGTTGCCAAGTTCGCCCTTCCAAATTTCTGGATCAGATGTACCTTCAGTCACACTCTTGCCTGCTGCTGCTGCTGCTTGTGTATCGCTATGGCTTGCTTTTGAGCGTTTTCGTAAGCGATGCATTATGTAGAGCACTGCGAATGAGGCGTATGTGGCTTTGGCAACCTGCCAATACGTTTAGTTAGTGTTAGGCTCGAGTGACACGTTTTTCTTACTACTCACGTTGGCTCGTCCAGTGATAGTTTCACTATTGAACAATTTATGGAAATTGGACATCCTGAATGCAGTTGTGTTTAGGATTAAGAAAATGGCACTATTTCCTTTTAAATGTGTTTATTTTACAAATGAATTAAAAGGAAAATTACAAATTCTTATAAAGATTTTAATATTTAATTGATTTTTCATTACCCCAGCAGTCTGTAAAATATTCAAGTATTTTATAAACGATGTAAAAATATCGCACTTTTAATAACACTATGCGACAGTCAAAAACGGCGTTCCCACGACAGTCGGGTCTACGTAACCGGAACGACCCAGATTTATATCTGGCCAAGGACTGTCACTCCAGCAACACTCCCCAAAAAGTCTTTGGGGAATTTGTATGCTGCTACAACAACAACAACAGTCAAAATCGGGATGGGATGAAACCAACGGGAAATGTTATATCGGTCAAAAACAAGTTATACGTGTCCCGGCGTTTCGCTGGGTCACGTCTAGGAATCGAGATATATATATTACTATCATATAGGGGAAATTGTCACCTTTGGTGGTCTTTTTTTGACGTAACTCGAGAACCACTAGTCCGATTTTGCTCAAACAAATTTAAAAAAATTAAAAATTACAATTCCTTTAATCTGTTCATATAACGTTTTTCTATATAATCGTCACATACGATATCGTATTAGTCGTCACGTAAAAACACATTTTTCGGATTATGACATACGTGAACTTACTCTTTATGTTACGATTCGAGACCCGCTCTACATAATATTATAAGGTTAAGTACATATGTATTAGTCTAAGATTCGAATAAGGCACGACCTTCAGCAATCTGGTTAATGGATGAAATATGTTTTGTATGAAATTTAACGTGTTAGTAAATATTTCCCCAAGTGGATTGGCAGAAAAAATCCCGGCCAGGATATACTTAATTAAATGTTCAAAAATTATTATTAAGCCAAGGGAATGTGAAAACGTTTTGTTGTCTATTTTTTCCTGGCCTACATATTGGGTTGGCAGATATGAACTGATAGGTAATAATAGTAATTTCCACTAATATATTTTACACATTATATAGGCTTTATGATTTCAATTAGCGTATACATATGTAATCAGTGCAAAATTAAAAAGAAAATTAATTTTTGAATATTTAAATAAAAATATCTTGGCCAATTTTGTCAACCATCCCACTCGCGAAATATTTCGAGACACGTTAATTTTCATAGAAAATAGATTTCTTCTCTCCTTTATATTTTTTTAATAAAATCCAGAATGAAAAGCAACGAAAAAACTAATACAATTTAATTGTAACACTTTCAAAAGCTGAAAGCTACTTTATTTTTACAAGGAAGTGTTCATGTTCCTAAAAGATTAGCTTATGTTATACTTATAAAACGTAATTAGTGCAATGCCCTATGTCCCTCAATCGCACGGCAACAACTCAGAACGTGAATTACCACAAGTGCTTTCATTTAAACGAATTTTTCGATATGGTGTGGACGAAAAAGCCTCTACTGTGCAATTCCAATCAATGTCGATCAATGTTTTACTATTTTGCAGACCATCACCGGTTAACGATATGTCCAAAACAAATTTTGCATATAATTCTATAAATGTCATGATGATTGGATTTAAAATCATATTGTTAAATTGACGCCATGGTAAAATTGCGCCCAATAGTTCAACTAGTCGCTGGGCATGACGGAGGTATTTCATGCGCACGATCAGGCGGTGGCTAAACGACAATGACCAAATATTCCGACGTGCTAGGCAGCAAAGAAAATAAAAATATTACAATTTAATCGTCGAAAAAGTTTAATTATGTAAAATCCCTTTCACATGATTAATATGCATTTATTACCTTCTCGCACAAAGCGCGCATAAGTTTCGATGATAGGCTGTAATACCACATCGCTGAACTCCTGCTCCGTCAGCATTGTGCCCAACATCTCGATGAACACCTGCGCCTGCCATGAATTGTAAGCCAAGAGGCCTTGTGTGGGCCTTTGATTTAACAAAGGACCAAAGCTGCGAAGCTTTGCCGAAGAGCGATTTTTACCTGTGCAAAGGGAAAAAGGTCAACATACGTGGGGCTTTTCCGAGCGGCACAAAAACTACCGCGCTAGTGCTTGACGGAGCGGAACTTACCATTTCTCCTTGCAGCCATTTTTTTGTTTATTGTACAGATTTTAACTTAATTTGTCAAGGATTAATTTATTTCTGCAACCGAAGCGCTTTGAGCAATGTAACGGTTTACATTCAAACGTCGCTTGGAATTAGGAATGTCGGAAACACATCGATGCATCGTAAATTTTACACTCGGTGTATAAATAGTCGATGTATCCATTATCGATGTTTTTTTGAAAACTGAAATTTCTAGCCCATTGAGCCGTCATTACCGCAGAACTCCACAGGCAAACACCGATGGCCTACCAACTGTTATTTTGACGGGCAATATGATTGCAAGTTTTTGTGTGTGGGCACCTTGATGTCTTGAAATAAGCATTTGCCGCATGACGCCACCAGACAACATTCCCTCGGTGTTTAAAAACGTTTAAATCTTTAAAAAACTTTCTGAATAATTTCCTCAAACGTAATCATAAATAATCCAATAGAGAACAGATTTTTATTTTGATTTACAGGCCAATTCTGCGCTGGTAACATAAATTTTGTAACCGGTAATTAAAGTGTCTGTCAATTTTTAAACCTTTTTTGCGTTCTGCGCGCTTTTGTAACCGGTAAATTTGGATACCATCTCATAACCTGGTAACAAAATATTGCCCCGTGAAATATGCAGTACAAGAATTTCCACAAATCTTCATAGCTGAATTGCTAGATATTTTCACTGCATTACCAACGTACCTAGAATCGCGGTGGCAAGTGGCAACATTTTTTGGTAATACAATTTTCCGGTCACAAAATCTTCGGTAACGTGCCTAGACCTATTTAATAATTTATAGACCACTTTAATCCTATTTTTAGCTAATTTAAAAAAGTTAAATTAAATCAGGTTAGGGTTCTTCTTAAATGGTATCGCTATATCTACAAATTATTTTATACTTTTTAGTTATTGTAGTAAAAGCGTGTTTTTAGTTTTTTAACTATAATTTTATTTACCTTGAGGAAGGCGCAGATGTAGAAAATGAGACAAAAAATATAAAGTTGTTGTGTTCAATTCAAATGCTGTTGAACTCAGGCATATAAATAATCTTATCAGTTTAAAAAATCGCCTTTTTTGTTAAATCGGCCTTGAAGAAAAACGCGAGCAAACAAACGCTTCTAGAACGAAATTTCTATTGTTCTACAGCTTATCATTGCGGTTATTGCCTATTTAATTTCTTATATGTATGTACATTTATGTATACAAGTATCGCTCGGTTGTCGAAACTCGACATCTTTTTTCACACACTTTAGAATTTTGCTTGTCACCAATATTGACTCTTTTATGCGAATTACGATTTTGAAGTCCACCACCAAAATTTATGGCGAATTTACAGGAAACCTAAAACTAAATTTCTTCAGTAGCTTTCGAAATCATAAAGAAAAAAATAAACCTTAATTTTCTTTTATAACAAATACACATACATATGTACTTGTATGTACAGATGAGATGCCTATCGGTTCCTCACTGTCTATATGTTAAACAAATACCAATTCAGACTGTAAATGCGTTATTCGATTATCTTGGTCGGAGATCCCCTTGGAAGGTTAAAAACTACACTTCCATCACATTTTCATCAGAATCGGTAGAGGTTAAAAAAAGTACATCGAAGGTGTGAAACAAAATATAATTAGTCTGTTCCAATAGCAGTCCGGTTTACAGGATTTAGTCAGAACTTACAGGAAGTCGTTCCTATTGACATAAATAGTCTGTTCCAATAGCAGTCCGGTTTACAGGATTTAGTCAGAACTTACAGGAAGTCGTTCCTATTGACATAAAACCTGTAAGTGGGAACACATTTGAGAGAGTAACTGAGCAACTGTTCCTAGTCAGAAGTTACAGGATTTAGTCCGGAGTTTTTTTCCTGCAAGTTCATGAAAAGTGTCAAACGATCAGCTGATTTACATGTGCAAACAAAACCAGAAAGCGGTGAAAGCAAAGAACCTTATATTTGTTAAAAAATGGAAGTAAACAACGAAATATTTGAATATGTATAGATTTTAATAATTATTTAGTGATATTTCAGCCAAATCAGTGTAGTACCAATGATATGTAAACAAACCGTCTGACGTTTTTACAGGAAATAGTGCTTTTTGCGTTCCTATGCACTTCTGCATCTGTTCTTCTTTTACTCTCATTTGAGAGCGTAAAATTGTAGTTTGACAGTTCCACAGGTTTTATTCCGAAGTTCAAAGGAACAACCTAACCAGGTACTTTGCTTTCACCGCTGTTTGTTTTAGCCTGCACATGCAAATCAGCTGATCGTTTGACACTTTTCATGAACTTGCAGGAAAAAAACTCCGGACTAAATCCTGTAACTTCTGACTAGGAACAGTTGCTCAGTTACTCTCTCAAATGTGTTCCCACTTACAGGTTTTATGTCAATAGGAACGACTTCCTGTAAGTTCTGACTAAATCCTGTAAACCGGACTGCTATTGGAACAGACTAAATATATCCTTGTTGTTGTTGTTGTAGCGGCTACAACAACCCCGCCCAGGACGGTTGGTATCTCAGCGCGCAGCTTCTGTGGGGTTGGTCCACAGGGACAAGGTCGTTAGGGTTGTCGGGTTTTCCGGGCATGCGAAGAGATGTTTCGCGTCATGTGGGGTCTCTCCGCACGCCGGACACTCATTTGGCACATCCTCATTCAATCTACTCAGGTAGGAGTTTAACCTGCTGCAGTAGCCGGAGCGAAGTTGTGCTAGTGTCCTTCTCTAACGGCGGTTTTACACGGGTTTTTGTCAACATTGGGCCTAAATCCCAATTTTCCATAAGTATGTTATTGATAGCATAAATAGCTGTGTCGAATTTCAGGACGTTAGTATTAGGGGTTCAATAGGAAAGCGATTTGAGAATTTCAGTTTGTATGGGAGGTACCATGCCTCGTTTTCCAAAATTACCCACTGATCTCCGTAACTATGTATGTATGTATATATGTATATCAAAAATATGGTTCATTGTGCTCTAAAAAAATCTGTGTGCAAGATTAAAATTTTTGGTCAACACCTTAGGCTCGCCCATGTCCATCAAAGTTCAGGTGCTAAAATAAAGTTTCTCTTAGCTTACTTCGAGCCTCTGCAAAAAAGGTCCATATACCAAATATGTAGGACTAATACTTCCAAAGATAGTGGCAATTTTAGTAAAAAAATAATAATTATCTAATTTATTTATTAATTTTTATTTTTTTTAGCACATTCAACTTTGATAGACTTCGGCGAGCCTAAGATATAAACCAAAAATTTCATCTTTCCCACAGTTTTTTTTTATGGTTCTGCTATTACCAATCAAAATTCCAAAAAAGCGGATTTTCGGCCCACGCTAATATATATGTATGTATGTATATATGTTTGTATGTATATCTGTAACAAAAAGTAAATATATGGAGGCGTATGGAGGTATTTACATATGGACATCTGCCAAAAATAATAAACAAAGCGCTTCCTCTACGAAGCGTCAAAGATATTGCGGATCACAATGCCAGCGTTCATTGGTTTCTGTGTGACCAAAATGCTTTGTGCTGTATTTGCTACTTATCTTGATGCAGACAAAGCGCATCCATATATACATATACATATATGTCTGCAAAACGTTCTATGTCCTTATTACCTTTGGTGCTTAATTGATCTGTTATCTGTATCCGATTCGCTTCTGGCAATCGTTTATCTTCATAAGCCAATGGTAGTCAGTTTTATCATTCGTTTTTTAGGGTGTAACGATTTGCAGATGCATTCCGGTGCAAGTAAGAGACCATCTAAGTGTCAAGGGTACTAATAGACATAGACCGTTTTGCAGTATCACCGACGATATGTATAAATACTGTAGTAGATACAAGAGCGCCACATCATCGTTTTCCCCCTGCGAATTTCATCATACACGACGACTTCTACTTTTTCCACAAAAATTTTTTAATTCTGCCTTTACCTAATTTGCATATAATACATACATATGTACATAGATATCCATAGATATTGGAAAATTCACTATTGATAACTCCATGGATAACTCCTCAAAAAATATACTGGAAAATTTTAAAGTTCTAACTTGTTTTGTTTAAGCTTATTTGAAACATTCTACGTCTGATTTTTCGTTAATAAAAAGAAAATTATAAAACTTACAAAATTCGTACCTCTTCACATGCAAATGCAACGTGAAAATTACAACAAAAGCAAATTAACAAGCAAATAAAGCGTAAGCAGAGAAAAAGTATGTAAGTAAAATAGTGGTGGGGTGGAGGGTCATTTGTGTCGATCTCATTGAACGAATGCGTTTTGTTATGTATTTAATTTCAATATACATACATCTGTACATCGTATGTGTGTACATAGTTTTTTGCAGCGCTTTAGGGGATAGATAAATAGATACGTATGTACATATGTATGTATGTAGATATCAATAGAGTCTATTATACGTCTATTGCGCACTAGTAGGAGCTTGCGAGTCTAGCTTGTCCCTGTTCCTAGAAGATGGGACCTTACCTTTGGCAAAGCGCTCACTCGCGAAGTTTAGGAGAGTTCGCCTTGCCGCTTGTTCAACAGTAAGATGAAGTGGCTACAGTTCAAGGATTATTTCCAGCGCTACCTTCGGACATGTGCTCCTAGGTTCAGTGATACAAACACGTCAGACATTGAATCTTGGCGAGAAACCTGCGTTACTGTTGCTAGAGTAGTGATGGAAGCCAAAGCCGCTGCCACAAAAGTTATTATTGCTCGTACATACAATCATGATGGGGTCCATCCCCAGTATTTCATCACGAGACATTTGCACATCATCAGCGCTCTCATAGCCTTGGAAGTGGACGCCTCAACATGAGTCCTCCACAGGAGTTTTTGGGAATTAATTTGGGTCGCTCCGGTTACGTAGACCCAATTGTCGTGGGAATGGCGCAATTTATATACTTTCATCTCCTGTGGTTTGGAAATAAAATAGTTATGATATTTATAATACGTTACGTTTTACAGTTCTGGAAAGTACAAGAATATGTAGTCATTTTACATAAGCAGACTGTGCCCTCGCCACGTATTTTAATTGTTTCCATTTCCCATTAGATAAGCAGCGTCGCCAGTTAATGCAATATACGATAAGCAGAACACCAGTATCAGCTGTTTTTTGTGTTTTACGAATAAATTATTTACTTTCATACATATCTATGTACATATATAGTTGTAGCCATATACATATATATAGATATGTATATAAACGTACTTAGCTAAATACATAGAAACATATGGAAATTTATTTTTATATATTTGTATACGTACATACATATATCTGTACATATACATGTGTACATACCTTATCTAGATAATTTCATAATTTCCAGGGGCATTATTGGGATATTTTGCTGACCAGTGGAAAAATTTTTCTGGCAGTGTTGTAAAGCGCTAAACGAAAGTGATCACTGGGATTTTATTAAGAGAAATGCCAAAACTGAATAGGCAAATAATTTCATTTTATTTTGAAAAAAAAACATTCTGCCGAACAATTTAATAGACAACATTTAACTACAAAAAAAGAAAATATTCGGGGACTACAACAGGATTCAGTCTAATATTTAGTTGAAATGGGCCCCTTTCATGGCGCAATAAACAGGTGACATAATAAAACAGCTTTCCCTCTTTATTTTCTGTCCCTTTATATAAACTTTGTACAAGGTGGCACATAATTAATCGTCTAATTTTGTTATGGATTAACTTTTGTATTAAAAAAAAAATGATTTTGAGTGAAGGAAATCTTTATTTTTTCTATTAAAATATAAAGTTCACGCCGAACGGCACTTGCGGCGTTTAAACGAGTCAAGCGATAAGCTGTTTGACGTTTTTACAGGAAAGTCATATTTTTGTTTCCGTTATTTTTGGTTGCAACTCTCTTTTTACTCTCACTATAGAGAGTAATTTTGCTATTTGACATTTTTACAGGATTTTCACGAAAAGGACCGGATCATAGCTAACTTAGGGTTTACACCGGACAATACTGTCATGACAATAGCAATCCATGCACATTTTTTCACTAATACATGCATACTTTTCCATTGCAACAATTTTGACAACTTAAGGCCCTGTCTCCACAGGAAAACACTGATGTCGTGATAACCATGTCACAAAATAGTTTGACAGCCATATTTTCATTTGAAAGAAAGCGTGATGAAATCAAAATAAAAATCTGTTCCCTATTGGATTATTTATGAATACATTTTAGGAAATTATTCAGCAAGTTTTTAAAGATTTAAATAGTTTTACACACCGAAATTGAGAGAATGTTGGCTAGTGGCGTCATGCGGCAAATTCTTATTTCAAGACATCAAAGTGCCCACACACAAAAACTTGCAATCATATTGCTCGTCTAAATGACAGTTGTTAGGCCATCGGTGTTTGCCTATGGAGTTCTGCGACAAGCGAAACGCACATTAGCACGATTCACACGTTGCGAATCCGCAGAGCTATAATTTACAACAATGCCACCCATATATTTTAATGAGCCACCCATATATTTTAATGAGCCACCCATATATTTGCACAATTCTGTGGGTGCGAATTTTTCGAACATTCAATGTTCCCCTCTTTTGACGCGTTCGAAACGCGGCTTGCGTCAAAGAAGAGGAAGAAATGTGTCATAGCAATAAATTCAAAGAAAAAAAGTCTGATGTACAAAAACTAATAGAGCACGTTCGTAATAACACTATTTTGTACGATTTGGACACGCCGAGTACAAAAATACACGAAAAAAGGGAAAATTGAGTGAATTGTACATCGGAATTCGACGCGAAAAAAGCACGCAAGTGCGCACGTTTGCGGATTCGAAGGTAACAACTGAATTCGCAAAGTATTCGCAGCGATAGAATCGCGCTAATGTGCGCTTCGCTTAATACGCTTATCTTCATTGTCTTGAAAGCATTGTCCAATGTAGACGCGCCGTAAGTTACGTAAATGCATGGAAGAAGTCAAGAAACGCAGCTTCGCGCTAGTTACCAACACTCCACGAAAAATATCCCACTCACGCGAAAGAGATAGAAAACTGATGAAAATAAATTTTTCACAAATACGCAGTTGGCAAATGTGATGTAAAAACAATTATTTCCAACAAATTTCAACTGCACTTCATATGTCACGATCAAACCACACACTAAACTCGTAAAGTAAGCAAAGATTTTAATGCGATTAAATAAAGTAGTGCGGAAATCGCAAATAAATTGAAAGCCGAACAAAAATTGTGCGAGAGGGATAGTAAATGTGCTATTTGTTGTACATAGCGGCCATTGCGCCCAACTTTCCAGGCAGATAAAGGAAATTATATATTTTCCCCTATATTCGCCCATTGCTATAAATACGGAGAATTTGTATGACACTGCTTAAACGATATTAGACATTTGTGAATTAAACACTTTGAGGTTTACCAGCGCTTGTTGATAGTGATAATTTTCTGTGAAAACTAGTGAGCTTTGAAATATATATAAAGGGAAAGAAAATATTTTTAAGAAAATAAGCAAACGTGAGCAGAAGAACCATCAATTAATTATATTGAAAAACCAATTTCTGTGTAAAAAAAGAGGTTAAGGTGAGTTGAGTTATGCAAATACATATGCATTATAGAAGTTGCAAATTTTTCTTAATAAAATTGTGAGAAGTGCATTTATATAAACTAAATTTTCGTTTTGGGAGAGGAGGGCAGTTGAATAAAAGTAGAATTGTGTCTACATGCAATTTGCCTTGCGCTTGTGAAATCGATCGATTTTTTCGCCTTGCATAGAGTTGCAAGATGGCGTCGTGTGCCCATTCAATGCATGAGCCAATCGCAGCTCATCGATTCAATGAGCATACATATTTATGTATATACAGTGGGGAGCAGAAATAAGTACAGGGTGATTTTTGTTAAATATTTGCAAGGTTTTTAAAGTAAATTTAAAAAATTTTTTTTTTCATAAATTGTTTTAGCCAAAACAATGTAAATGAAACTGCAACTTTATACAGCGCTTACAAAATTAACAATTTTTTTCATTAAAATTTCGACTTTGTTTTTTGGAATTGCAAAATCGTTCTGATTTTAAATATTTCTTTGGAACTGTTCATATATTTGTACAACGATTTTGGGTTGCTGTGCCCAAACGCGTGATTCGAATCAAAAAGGTTTTACACACACTTGTAGGCAAGAGTTCACGCTTTATTATAAAAAGTTACTATATCGGCACTAATCTATTAATAATGTCGGTGGGGAATATGTTATATTTTTCAAATTTCCGGGCTGAGCTGCAAACAAAAAATATCTACGAAACATGCAAAAGGTGTTCAGCCTCTTCTTCGGCAACAAAGTAGAATTTTACTTAGTGAGGGTTATAATCCCTAAGCCACGCCCCTCTGCCCCGCAAAATCGTACAAATAAGTAAACATTTCCCTTTTCTTTCTGACGGCTTTTGCATTTTTTTCTTTTCAATTTATAAAGCGTTGAATTTTTGTATTTTTTTTTTTGCAAACGATAAGAAATTCATGTTTACATATGTATGTACATATATCGAAAAAAATTAAAAGTCCACGCGATTTTGCAACCCTTTCAACTCGCACTTTATTATACTAAAATTTAATGGGCAACCGAACTGCATTCTTAAAATAATTCCAAAAAAATCTGTTAAAAATGGAAATTATAAAAATTTGTTAAATTTTTACTTAGTCCTGTATAAAGTTTGATTTATGTGTATGGTTTTGTTTAAAGCATGAACCATATTTTTATGAAAAACCTACAAAAAAAATAATTCTTAAAAAACCTTGCAAATATTCAACAAAAATCACCGTGCTCTCATTTCTGCTACTCACTTTGCATATACATAGTATGTATATACAGTGGTGGAGAAATAAATAGGCACCCGACATTTTAACAAATTTTTCCTGTTTTTCCTTTGTGTACTATTTATTATGTTCTTTATAAAAAGTATAGCTCATTATCTAACAAAAACCGTATAAATTCATATTTCAAACTATGCAAAAATTTCGCAAAACGGCCTAAATTTTTTGTTTAATGTTTTTGATTATGGCGTTTTATAGCCCATTAAATTTTAGTAGAATAAAGCATGATATAAATATTTATAAATATTTGTATCATGGAATAAAGTGCAGGTTTGAAGTTCCTGGAAAATCGCGTTGATTTTTTATAATTTTTATTCTGAATGTATTACACACTGTTTTTCATACAAAAAAATTGTCGTTTGTATGGAAGAAAATGCGATTTTTTAGCAACTTAAAACTTGCACTTCATTCCACTAAAATTTAATGGGCTATAAAACTACATACTCAAAAAATTCTAAAAAAATCGGATTAAAAAGTTGAAAATTTAGCAGAATTTTTTTAATTTTTGCACAAAGTTTGAAATATGAATTTATTTGGTTTTTGTTAGATAAAGATAAAAAAAAAATATAAATTTGAAATAAACGAAAGAAAAAATAGGCAAAATTTGAAAAACTGTGTCCCTATTTATTTTTCCACCACTGTATATACTTATACATACATCTATATTAAATTAATCGCTTGTATTTTTTCTGGCTGAAAATTCGATAGTGTAAAAAAGGATGAGTCATCGAATAGATCTTTCTGGAATTACAATAAGCAATCGTAGCAAGTGTTCAATCATTTGTCTTTTAATCTGTAAAGTAATCTATGGCTATTTCGTCGACAAGTAGGCTTGCATGTTTTATGTATTTATAAACAAAGCAGCATTTTCTGCTGTTACCTGGCTGATTGTTTTCGACATCTGTAGGTCTAAACGACTAAAATATTAAAAAAACTAATCGATTTGTTTATTTTGTTCGTGTATTTTGCAGCTCTCTTTCAAAAATGCAAATCTTCGTGAAGACTTTGACTGGCAAGACCATCACTCTGGAGGTTGAACCATCCGATACTATTGAGAATGTAAAAGCCAAGATTCAAGACAAAGAGGGTATTCCACCAGATCAGCAACGTTTAATCTTTGCCGGCAAACAATTGGAAGACGGACGCACCTTGTCCGATTACAACATCCAAAAGGAGTCTACACTTCATCTGGTTCTTCGTCTACGTGGTGGCATGCAGATTTTCGTCAAAACTTTGACGGGAAAAACCATCACTTTGGAGGTTGAGCCTTCCGATACCATTGAGAATGTCAAAGCTAAAATTCAGGATAAGGAAGGAATCCCACCAGATCAACAACGTTTAATTTTCGCTGGCAAGCAGTTGGAGGATGGACGCACATTGTCTGACTACAATATTCAGAAGGAATCTACATTGCATTTAGTTTTGCGCCTACGTGGAGGTATGCAAATATTTGTTAAAACATTGACTGGCAAAACCATCACTCTGGAGGTTGAACCTTCCGATACTATCGAAAATGTGAAAGCCAAAATCCAAGATAAGGAAGGTATCCCACCAGATCAACAGCGTTTAATCTTCGCCGGCAAGCAGCTCGAAGATGGCCGCACCTTGTCCGATTATAACATACAAAAAGAGTCTACCCTGCATTTAGTCCTGCGTCTCCGTGGTGGTATGCAAATCTTCGTGAAGACCCTAACTGGCAAAACCATCACCTTGGAGGTTGAGCCATCAGACACCATCGAAAATGTTAAAGCCAAGATCCAAGATAAGGAAGGTATTCCCCCAGATCAGCAGCGTTTGATCTTCGCCGGCAAACAGCTTGAAGATGGCCGCACCTTGTCTGACTACAACATCCAAAAGGAGTCTACTCTGCATTTGGTCCTGCGTCTTCGTGGTGGTATGCAGATATTTGTGAAGACCCTAACTGGTAAAACCATCACGTTGGAGGTTGAGCCATCCGACACCATTGAGAACGTCAAAGCTAAGATCCAGGACAAGGA